CTACCCAGTGCTGGCTTCTGTGGCCTGCAACTGAGAATGTTGCCTTATATAGAAATTGGTGCCAGGCTTGGTGTAGGCAGTAGCTCTCGGGGGAAACCCAGAGAAGCTGCCACTGGCCATGGGGACTGCAAAGTCAGTGAGAATCTGCAGAGTAAGGGACAGAGCTAAAGGCCTTTGGACCAAATAGCCCTTTGAAGGCAGAGCTCTAAGACAGCAATTTTGGTCCTTAGAAAGAAGGAAAGAAGGGAGGAATTCCACTGTGGCAGAGCTCTGACCTGGCTGGGCAGAGGGAAGATCAAACAGAACCCAAAACTCCTAAATCCTTGGCTCAGACCCACAGCAAAAATGGCACTTGGGCTGCAGCTGGTGGCAGAGCACTTGCCCAGCAAGTGTGAGGCTCTGGGTTCCATTCCCAGCACTGCAAACACAAAACAAAACAGAAAATCAAAACCAAAACCTAAGGACATCTATAGCTGTGCTGAGAATGTCACCAGATTGCTGTAGCCACAAGGCTGAGAGCCAAAACTGAAAATCAAACCTGACCCTGCAGAACGGAGAATTACATCATTACCACAAAGCTTCTGGATGATTCTGGATACTCTGAACCCCAGATCCTCACAGAGCCTCCTTGTTGCTAGCTGAGCAGCCATTCTTGTCTGCTGAGGCAGGGTCTGCCATGATCTGGGGTCCTCACACACCTACCACCCCTCAGTGTCCTGCCCATCCTGAGGGCAGTATTGAGTATCTGTCCCAAATAAAATCTGTGCAGAACCTTGCTATTTCGTATCGTTAGAAATCTGGAGGAAGACTGGGCATGGTGGTACATGTCTGTAATCCCAGTACTCGGGAAGTGGAGGTAGGAGGGAGGATCTTGATCCCAGCCATCCTGGGTTACACAGCAAGACCCAGTCTCAAAAGACAAAACAAAAATAAAAACCAACCTGGAGGCCATGAGTGAGTGGGTTGCGAGGCTGCCACAGGACAAGGACATGATTTTGGACTGGGCTGAACTTACAAATGTGCCATACCAGCCAGAAGCTCTGGATTCGAGGTGACGGTCTCAGCTGCTGTGGTGGCTCTGCCTGTTCCCCACCGGCTCCCTGGTAATGAGCTAAGACCTTGGCCCACCCTGACAGAAGAGGTGACAGAAATACCCAAGAGGGAAGGACAGACAGACTCATCATGGATGACCCACCATCCTGAACCAGGCCTCCTGTGAGGGCCAAAAAGATGTCCCTTCAGCACAACTGTGCCAGCCACCTGGTTGAGAGGCAAGCAGCCTTGAAAATGCTCTGTGCTCAGCTCAGGAGCCCTGCCTGTGGCCCAGCTCGCAGTTCCTGCAGTAGAAACCAAGACCTTGGACAGCAGAGGCTCAGTGACTAGTGGGTACCTGTCGTTAGGCATGAGCCCAGTTGGCTGTCCCAGTAGTCTGACAGGCAGGCTGGATGGGCTAATGGATCAGAAGGTGTCCAGCAGCCCATGAGGATCAACGGCGTGTGCTCCAGAAAGGCCTGGGCTTGGATAACATAGGTCTCACTGGGACCCCCCCACCCTGGACAGAGCAATGTGGTCTCCCATAGATCCACGTGAGTCAGTTCGTAGTCAGTTCCTAGAGCAACCTGCGAGGAAGGCTGCAGGGTACATCTGGGGCTCCCTCTGGGAGTCTCCTGTATTTGCAGGAGAACAAACACACTGGAAATGGGGGACAAGGGTTGGAACCCACTGGGACCTCCTTTCTTCATCTGCCATAGGACCGTAGCATGTGTCTGAGAGAGTGCCAGGTCCACTGAGCAGAGCACTAGGACAGCAGAGTACAGGTGCAGACCCCTCTGGAAGTGAGGGCTCATCAGGGTTTCCATCTTCGTTCCACTGCACTGTGACCAGCCATCTGCTGACTGCCGAGAGGGGAAAACCATGACCTTACCACTGACCAAGTGTGCACCTCAAAAAGCTCTTGGCCCCATGTCTCTAACCTGCACCATACCTCTGCAAGGCTGCTCAGAGGTTGGGAGCAAGGCTGGATTGGGACTTGGTGTTCTGTCACTAAACCCATGTCCTCTCCATTATGGCATCGAGGTTCATAAAATGAGGTGGCATGTGTAGAGCCTAGGATGTGGTGATGAACAACAGAGGAAGAAGGGGGACAGGTGGATCAGTGGATAGAGGGAGGGAGGGATGGATGGAAGATTAGATGTGTAGGTGGCTGCACATATGGATAGATGCATAAGTGAGAAGAGGGGTAGATAGAGGTGGATGGATGGATGGATGATGGATGGATGGATGGATGGATGATGGATGGATGGATGGATGGATGGATGATGGATGGATGATGGATGATGGATGGATGGATGGGTAGATAGATGGCAGATGAATAGGTTGTAAATAGATGACAGATAATGGGTGGGTGGATGAATGGATGCATAGGTGAGTAGATGGGTGGGTGGATGAGTGGATGGGTAGAAGAATGGATAGATGGAAGGGTGACTGGGTGGATGGATAGATGGGTGGATGAATGGAAGGATGGATGGGTGGCTAGGTAGGTGGCTGGATGCATAGGTGAGTAGATGGGTGGGTGGATGAGAGGATGGGTGGATGGGTGTATGGGTAGATGAATGGATGGATGGATGGATGCTTGGATGGATAGATGGAAGCTTAGATGGATCCTTGAATGGATGGAGAAGTATATACTTGGAAAAACATCATGGCTAGATAAACTTAGAAGGTAGATTCAACATGATCCCGACCTCCAAGGATCTTCCAATCGAAGAAGACACTGAACTAAGCATGAAGCCAGCAGAGAAACTGAAATCTCTCATCTGTAGTTGTGACACCCTCAGAGGCTACCATTTGCCAGCCACATAACACTGTGTGGAGATCAGCCAGGAAAGCTGTGACTTGGGACAGACACGCTCGATTCCTCCCATACCACATTGTGATGCTCACTCACTCCACAGACCTTATTGAGTTCCTGCTATGTACCAGGCACCCTGTAGGTTCTGAGTATGGAACTGAGTACTGAACAAAGTAAGTCCACATGGCATTTCCCTAGGGTTGAGGGGAGAAGATAGGAAGAAGGGAACCGCCTTCTTCAGGCGGGGGGTCTGGAAGGTGCCATTTTTAGCCTGGTGATTCTGAGACCCACAGATGCCCACTAGGATCCTGAAGACCCACAGACTGGGCCATTTTGGCAGTGTGGGATCGCAAGTGGACAAGGGGACAGACACAGGCAGCCCTGCTGCAAAGTTCCTGCCCCAATCATGGGACAGCCCAGCTGCTGGAAGCTGCCAAGATGCCACATGTGCTAGGCCCTGCTGTGGCCCTCCAACCCCATCTGCTGCAGGAGCTGTCTCCTCCTCCCAGCCCACACCTTCTTTGGCTCCTGAGAACCCACTGAGGGCCGGTGTGTGTGGGGGGAGTGGAGAGGGATGATCCTGCAGACCAGGCCCAGCAAGCAGGACAGGAGTTCCCAGGTACATCTCTGTGGTCTGCCACACCCACAGCCAGGGTGGCTGCCATTGCTTGGTGCTGACTGGGAATCCAGGATGGTCTTCACCCGGATGTCTTTGGCAGGCCCACGGTGACAGGCACGTGGCAGAGCCCAAGGCATGAGTGAATGAGGAGCGAGTGTCTCAGCCAATCACAGCGCCCACAGGTTCTCAGTCTAACCTCAACCAGGGTGTCCCCCAGCCCCTACCCATGTCCAGGGAGAGCCCACTCCTTCAGGGTAAAAATGGCTTTAGGTTTGGATCTTCCCCATGATGAGTCAGAGTTCCCACCTTCTGGGCACCCTGCCAGCTCCTGTCTACATTGCAGGTGGGACCCAGAACTCATTCAGCATCTTTTATGGGCTGGTACCAAGTCTCCCTGGATAGAAACCACAGTGAGGCTGGGGTGGAGCTCAACGGTACAGCAAGTGCCCAAGGCAGTGAGGCCCTGGGGTCCGTCCCCAGCACCAAGCAAAACAAAATTAAATTAAAAAGATGAAGCACAGATCCAGGGCTGGACCTTGGAGGTCATACGTCCCTTCTTTTCCTTTTTTTTTTTTTTTTTTGGTGACACTAGAGTTTGAACTCAGGGCTTCACATTTGCAAAGCAGGCACTCTATTGCTTGAGCCACACCTCTAGTTCATTTTGCTTTGGATTATTTTTGGAAATGGAGGTCTCGTAAACTATTTGCCCTGGTTGGCCTTGAACCATGATCTTCCTAAACTCAGCTTCCCAAGTAGCCAGGATTACAGGCGTGAGTCACCGGCACCTGGCTCTTTGCCATCTTCACTTATTTCAGATGAAGTTTTGCCCAGATCCAAGGCCATGCCCTGCCCAGCTTTCAGCCCTGTTCCCTTCTGGATCCCACAGCATCTCCAGGCCCCCCTCCAACCTCCCCACACCGAGTGCCTCTTCCCCACAGGCATCCCACCTACAACGTCAAGGGTCCATTTCCCTCTTGGAAACTCTTGGGCTGCTGAAACCCATTCCTTGTCACCACCAGGGACAGACACAGATCTGGGCCCCATGTTAGCAGTGGCTGTGGGGCCAAGCTCAGTTCTTCCCCCCATCTCTACACAACCTCCCTTGCACATGAGCACAAGGATGTGCGATTGCGCCTGGGCCTCCCAAGTGAGAGGAACGCACAGCCAACGCAGAAAGGTTAATCATCCCAGGCAATGCCAACAGACAGACCTCCAGCACATTCGTTTGGCTTGTTTTGTGGCTATTTTTTTTTTTTACAACTTTAAATACGGAATATAAATAAATTTTACATTTAAAAAATAAAAGGAAAGCCCCCAAAAATATAATCACCGACTTTACAAACTGAAGGAAGCAGATGTGGCAGGAACACAGGGAAAGTGCAGCAGAGGTGGAGGGGGGCAGTGAGCTCAGACCCAGCCCCTCCCCCACCCGTCTTCTCCCTTCTCTCCCCCACTCCCAGCTGGCTTCCTGGAGGAGCCACCAGGTGGAACTCAAAAGGATCTGAGAGGGGAGTTGTGCACACAGGGGTGGGGGAGGGCGGGAGGGCTGCCCTCCTCCCCTTAGAGGCCTTCTCCTGGCTTCTCACACCTGCCAGCAAGGGGACAGCTGGAGCTGAGGACCAGGAGGTGGAGGCGATGAGCAACAGTGTTACCTCCTCCCCTACACCACCACCACCGGCTCCCGTCTGACCACTCCACGCCACAGGCTGGGTCAGGCACCGCCAGTCCACACACAGCTTTGTGTGCAATAGGACAAAAATCCTTTCCTCAGACACGACCTACATCTGCCAGAAATGGTCATAATAAATAGACAAATCAGTTCTATCTAGGGTAAGAGCAACGCTCCCTGTATGCAGTGCTCTTGTGCAGTGCACACCCTGCACAACCTTACGTGGCAGTCTTGGCTGGGATGAAATATGGTGGACAAGTCTACCCCTAAGAAAGAGTGACTGGAGTCATTTGGGGCCTCCATCAGGGGTCCAAGAACCCCATGGTGGAACAGACTGCAGGGCCAGAACAAGGGGAAGACTCAGGGTAGAGGTAGAGAAATGGAAGAAAACAGGAGGAAGTGAATGGGCTGAGGAGGTGAGATGAGGCTGGGGATACCCAGGTTGCCAATTAGAGCAAACTGCACCTCTAACCCGGCAGACAGTGAGGAGTCCACGTCTTTGAAGATTTCATACATGTAAGATGGAAGGAAGCCACTGTGAGCAGAGGTGATGGGAACAGGTGGAGGGCCTGGGTTCTCCAGTCTGTGCTCCCCACATGGTCTCAGCCACAGGGGTACAAGCAAAGGTACCCAGCCTGCCTGAAGCTGTCCCCTCGGATTGGCCAGGGGTCCAGGCACCAGGCAGGCTGTGCCGAGGTCCTCAGAGAAATGTGCACAGCGCTGGGTGTGGCTGGGCCTGGCGTCAGGGGACCCTGTCCACGTCAGTTTCTTATACTCTTGTCCCAGATTCCTGTGGCCAAGGAAGGAAGAAGCGGTGTGTTCGGTCCTTCGATTCCTTCTGCAGCTGCTGGGCAGGCCCCGAGGCCACGGGGAAGCCGCAGGCGGGGGGTGGCCGGACATGTGGGGGTGGGGCAAGCACCACTGGCCGTCCGAATCAGGCATCGAGACAGACGGATGAGGGGACAATGTTATCACTCCAACCCCATGGGGGCAATACAGCAAATACCATATTAAATAACCCTGTAGGCCAAGCAGAGGGACGGGGTCAGGGACAACCGAGGGGCTCACTCACTCATACATCCCATGCGGGAGGAGGATGGGGTCTCCACCTGATTTCCAGCAGGGCCCCGGGGGCCAGAAAGCTGGAAATTTAGCCCTCCCTCCCTTAGGACAGCTGGGGAGGGGCTCGAGAGCCCTCCGTGGGGAAGAACCCGGGGTGTAACTGGGAGAACACAGCAAATGCCCCTCCCTGACCCCACCCACAGCCAAGTCGCAGGGAAGGAAGCATAGGTTCAGGCCTCAGTTTCCCTGCTGGGTCCTCACCTGCCCACACTCTCTGCCGATGCCTAAGCCCCCAGAGCCTCCGTAAGTGCCGTCTTGTCATGGGTGTGCTTGAACTTCCGGTGCTTCCCTTTGGGGGGCCGGCGGACTCGCACCGTCCTAATGGCCACCCGAGTTTGGGGTGTCCTGGCTGCTTGAGAAGAAGAAAAAGCCAGTCAGCACGTAGACAGCTAAGGGATCCAGCCCACTCCACCCAGGCCCACTGTGGGCTGCCCCTGCTCCTCTGGCTGGGGAGAGGGAATCCCAACTCCACTCTTCACCCTGCGTGTGCCCTGGGGACAGCTACTGAACCTCTCTGTGCCTCAGCTTCTCCATCTGTGAAATGGGGCAATAGGCGGCCCTCCTCAAAAGACTGGGGGAGGGGGAGAAATGGCAGAATACAGGCAAAACTCTGCACAGTGCCTGACCCAGAGGGGATGGGTTAATGTGACCTCCTTGTCATTGCCAACAGAAGGAGGCAGAAATAGCAACCGTGCCCACCCTAGGCACATGTCGTCAGAAGACCGGCAGTCATCTATGCCCTTGGGTGCTCTGAACCTCCATGTGAGAAGTCTACCTGCCCTGCTGGAGAGGCCAGGCGGGGACTGGTTATCCTGGACTACAGGGACAGGGACAGAGGCCTAGTTGCCCCAGTTGACTCACTGGATTGCAAACTCCAGCCAGAACCAGAACACCACCCAACAGAGCCCAGTCCCCATACAGCCTAGCCCCTGCAGGCAAAAGGGCTGCAGTTCTCAGCCAATGAGCTCAGAGCTGACAGCCGCTATGATCCCTCCTTTCTTACTTCCCTGGCTTAGCCTCCTACGGAGGCTTCCTCCCCCAACCTCTGACCCCTCCAGTCACGTGATGAGGGGCCACCAGGCCTTGGGTCAGAACCACTCTCCCTCACGGAGCTGGGCCTCTGGGTTAACGGGCCTGTCACCCGCCTGTGGTGTGAAGCACAGTTCAGCCTGGGTTTAAAACTGGCGGTGTAAGGCGGCAAGCCACTTAAGTGCTCTGCGCCTCATGCCCACGCCATTGAAAGAGAAGACAGCAGCATGGCCCCCAGGGTTGACATGGACATAGCCAGAGCCCTTGGTAAGCACCACTGTGCACATGCCCTCCACAGTAGGTGGTGTTTTCCACACTGTGCAGATGGGGAAACTGAGGCAGGATCTGCTTCTATCAATAGTCTACACTTCCAGCACTCAGTGGAAACGACAGGAGCCCCATTCCAGGCTGGCTCTCAGCATCTCTCCCTTGCAGGCAACCCTGGCAGTGAAGCCAGGTCTGCCAAGTGCAGGACTGGCCGCTTCCCAGGGACCTCTTCAGCCTTTCCAGCCTTGGGGCCCTAGGGGCTGACACCTGACCACCTGTCACACACACAGCCCCCATCTTGGCAAGCACAACATTTTCCTGCATTTCAGGGACCTGAGTGGCCTTACACTCTCTTGGGGCACAACACCCAGGACAGCCACTGAAGAGCACAGGGGAGTTTCTGCCCGTAAGCCCAGGCCATCTGCAGGACACGACACTGAGCAAAGCCCACACAAACTCAAGGTCATCACACAGCCCATGAGTGACAGATCAGAGGTCTGAGCCCAGGTCTGATGCTGACCAGCACAGCAGACAGGCCACACTTCCAAGCCTGGTTCCAGCCAAGGCAGCTGCCAGAGGTGACTGCAGACTGGGCTGAAATGTGGAACCTATAGTGGGGAGACTCTTTGTTCTCTACATGCTATCGTTGCTGGATTGTTGGTTTGTTTGCTTTCAGTGCGGGTTTGAACTCAGGCCCTCCGGATTGCGAGGCAGGCACTCTTCCACTTGAGCCACACCTCAGTCCTTTGGTTTTTATTTTGTCTTCCAGACAGTGTCTTGATAACTGGGCTTGAGCTGGCCTTGAATTCAGATCCCCCTGCCCCTGCCTCCTGAGTAACTGGGATTACAAGTGTGTGCTACTACACCAGCTAATAAAGAATTTTTTTTCTCTTTTTTTTTTTTTTTTTTTTGCAGTACTGGGGATTGAACCCAGAGCCTGGCATTTACTAGGCAAACACTCTACCTCTTTGGCCATGCCTCCAGTCCCATACTATTGGTTTAATTCACCTCCCAAGAAACCAGTGTGAAAAAATCACATGAAACAAGTACATCAAATACCCCCCATTCCAGACATGGAGTGGAACAAATTCTCCTTACTACAGCACTCTCCATGTTGCTTCTATAAATAATTGACAACATGTCAGGTTGAAGCTGTCAGTGATGGGCCTTTCTGGGGCTCCAGTGATGAGGCTCAGCTCTGAGGACAGGACAGAGAAGCCAAGAAGTGGCCCTGCCTACAAGACTGGTTACTAGGAAGGGAGGATGAGAGGATCTCCCAGTCCCTAACAAAACAAAGTCACTGACAATCAAAACCCTTGCTATACTGAAGGACTGATCAGCAAGGTCATTTCTTTGGAACATTTCAGTGCTAAAAGTTAAAACTCCTTGAAATGTGTGTATATAATAAGCCAGGTGAGAGTCAGGCAGAGCTGTCAGGGTAAAGGAACAGCCAAGAATGGAACCATAGGACGCCTGGATTCCAGCCACACTCTTGCTTGGGATAGGCTGTGTGATGGAGGGCAAGACCTCAGCATCTCTGGGCCTCATCTACTTCCGCTGTAAAATGGGGGAGAAGCAGGTGGACCAAACCATTCCCTGGATCGCTTTCAACTCAAGTCTCACTACTTCAAGGGCAAGAACAGAACTCCATTCCACTTATCTATCTGATGGGCCCTGGCGGCATGGGTGCCCAGCCCCCTCCTTGCGTACCTCCAGTGACAGTGGCTCACTGCTTTCCAAAGCAGCTGATCCCATCACCAACCCCGGACTAATTACCAGCTTTTCTCTAAAATCTCTGCAGTGGCTTTCTGCACTGTTCCCAGAAATCAGATTCCTCATCCCCAGAGCAGGCTTCAAATATCTGAAGACAATGTGCATGGAGCCTTTTCTGGCCCTCCCACATTTTCATGCGCTCATTCAGCAAAGCAGGGGCTGTGGTGGCCAGGCTGCAAATGAGGCTGCTCTGGCCAGGGGGCCAGAGTGGACCTCTAGGAGGTGGCTTCTGGGCTAAGACAAATTAAGAGAAGGGGTAGGCTCCAGAAGGGCTGGGTGAACTGCAGTTCAGATAGATACTAGCACGGGCAAGGGCCCTGAGGCAGACACTGCTGGCAAAGCCAGAGGGCCAGTCAGGGGCTACACTTCATATAGAAACTTTTCATCCTAGTGAGATGGAAAGTCTCAGGTGAATTCAATCTGGGGTGTGCCTGGATCCATTTATAAGACCCACTCCCAGCTGCTCGGGGAAAGAGGGGTTACCTCGCTGTTCTTGGGACCCACTGCCAGGGCTGCGGGTCACAGGCCGGGCAGGTACCACTGTCTCACACTTGCATGCCAGGTGGTCCTCCAGGGTCACTGTGGCCTTCTTAAAGGTTGGCTTCTTCCGCACGATCTCAATCTTCCTCACCTGGAAGGCAGAACCACCAGAACCCTTTTATAAAGGCCTTGAAAGCCCAGGGGACACACTGTCTGCCCCTCCCCCATCCCGGGCCCAAAGCCCCACCAGCAGTCTGCAGGGCAGCAGACGCTTTGCTCTGTACAACTGCAGGGCCCTGCCCTCGGCCCCTCTCAGAGTTTTTCCATCAAAACAAGACCTTCGACCTGGCCGACCTGGCCAACCTGGCCTCCTGCTTTGTCAAGCCCTGGAGGCCCCCAGAGAGAGAGAGAAAGGCATTTCTGGGTTGAGTGTGGGGCCTGCAGTGTCCTCATGCCAGCAGCACCAGCCAAGGCCAGGGCTGCGGCAGAGGGGGAGATGGCTATCTGGAAGGAAGTGGGGGAGGTGGGAAGTGGGGGTCAGCTGTCAGGGGTCATCCACAGAGGTGGAAGCATTGGGGACATGAGATACCATGACAGCGGGCAGTGGGTGGAGAGTGACATTCGTAATCTTGGGCATGGTGCCTGGCCAGGGACGGAAGATGGGCAGGGGTGTGGCACCGCCACTGGCTGAGGGCCCGGGCAGGGAGCATAGCGAAGTAGCTAGCTTATATGCACAGCCATCCTGAACAGTGTTGGGGGGAAGATGGCCCCAGGTGTAGAAACCTATCCACTGTCCACCTGAATCAGAAGACAGCTAAATGCTCCTCTGTCCTGTCCTGCCCTGCCCTGCCCAAGGAGGAAACTCCCAGAACAGCCTCTGCTCTACAGTCTCCTAGGGACCCAGACAAGCACCTGTGTGCCACTCCTCAGGAAAAGAGGCACTGAACCACTTGCCAGGGCAGTGCCCTGACTCTTGTAGTGTCTGTCACCTGAAGGGTCCTCTGCCCTCCTTGCTAAAGACACAGCTTGCCAAAGGGACATGAGCAGGTGTCAAAGTGCAGGGGCTCCTGAATAACAGGGGAGGGGGAGGGAGGATTAATAGGGGAACCCAAGCAGTCGCCCAGAACATTCTAAGATCCAATGTTTGAAGACATATCTCTTCAAGGGATTTTGTCCCCGTAAAGAGGGAGACATGACCTGTCACTTAATCTTCGTTGTACACCCAGCCCTGCCCCGGCTCTGCCTGGGGTTCTCGGTGACCGTGTCCTGGGCCACCTCAGAGGCCTCATGGTCGGGCTCAGTCCGCTGGTCCAGTCCCCCACGAGAGGCCCTCTGCCAGCGATGGCCTCGCGAGCCCGCCCCTGTGGGCGGGGCCGGGGGCGGGGCCTGCGCACCTGCACTGGTCGCAGCTGCACCTGCGTGGGGCGGCACTGCACGTTGCGGTTGTTGCAGCAGCCGGAGCAGCGCTGCACCTCCACGCACGGCGGCCACACCAGGAAGTTGGCGTTGGTGCGGTCGATGAGGCGCCGGGAGATCTCGAACACCTCGGTGCGCGTCTTGCACTCGGCGATCATGGCTGGCTCAGCGGCCGTCAGAGAACCTGGGGAGGGGAGGGGATGCCACGGCAGGCGCGGGGCTGTCCTGAGCCGCACCTGCTGGGCGCCCTTGTTGCCCCCGCACCGCCCTTCCTCGGACACGCCACCATTCCCATCTCCTCCAACCCTGTGGAGAGTTCAAGACCTGGCTGTTACCACGCATGGGACTTGGTCAGGTGGCTGGGCTGCTCTAAGCCTCAGTTTCCCCAGCTGAAAACAGGGACAAGGGCTGGCAGAGTGGCTCAAGTGGGTAGAGCGCTTGTCTAGCAAGCGTGGGGCTCTGAGTTCAAACCTCAGTACTGCCAATCAATCAATCAATAAGATGAAAACAGTAACAATAAGATCTATAGCCCCCTTCACACTTTGTCATTTATTATCCTGTAACTGCCCCTAAAAGCCTCAGTGTCCCCATCTGTGAAATGTAATAACAACCATGCTTCCTGTGTTCTAAGGAGGAAGGTGAGTGGAGCCCCTCCTGCAGAAGGTGCCCAGTCAGTGCTGAATCTCAGAGAGCTAAATCAACACCAAATTTCCCAGATAGAGGGGCTGAACTCAGGACCTGCTTTGAGGACTTGTCTACCCTCACTGGCGCCTCCTTTCCAGTTCTGTGAAATGGCATTAATCATATGTACTATAGAGTTAAGTAAGGAACAACTGAGTGTAAAAGCACTATATATAGAAAACACAAAGTGGGGGGGGTGAGATGACTCAACTCCAAGGGGTGAATCCCAAGCCCTTGGGCTGGCTGCACGCCCCAGTTCTCCTTCCCTGGCTCCCACACTTTGAAGGGCTGCAACTGGGACCCCCGGTCTTACCCAGGCTCCTCCTTCCACGAGATGAACTTTCAGGCTCGTCTCCAGAGTGCAGCCGGGTCATGTTCATGGGTACATCTTCATCTGTAGGAGAAAGCACAGTCAGACCCTGCTGACCAGGGCCAGCCACTGTCCACGGGATAGGATCCCACCACGTGGGCAGAAGGATTCCCCCCACACCCTGCTGACCCAGAACAGTCGCCCTTCAGCCTTCTGCAAACTGGAGGGTCCTGGCTCTGATCATGGGGGTCCAGGGGGCATACAGCTGAAGAGTGGAACCTGGCTGCATTTTCAGGGGCTCCAGCCCCATTCTGGGTTGTTTAGCCACATTTTTGGCTAAAACTCATATCAATGGAGTTAAAAATAACCCTTCCCTTTTGCTACTGTAAGTGAACCCTTCTAGGCCTCCAGGGTGGAGCAGGGACCCAGAGCTCTGGCCACCAGTTCCCATAGGAAGTGCTGAATGGAGAAATTCCCAGAATCCCCGGGGGGCCCAGCAGGCCCTGAACATAGCCCCTCTGGAGCCTGGACAATGGCCCTGCTGGGCTGGAAAGGATGAAGAGGGATGGGATGGGAGCCCAAGGCAGAGAAGAGGGGTGGGAGGGGCCAGCTGTGGGTGGGGGCTGCACTTAGCCATGCTAAGTCTTAGTGGCTCCCTGGTTCCCATCCTTCTCTCTCCTTCTCTCCCCGCTTCTCTAAGCTTTTGCTTCTGGTCACTAACCACAGTTCCCTTCTCTAGGTTGGGTCCCCCTCCCCTCCATACCTTCAGCACTCTTTGGAGACATTGGTCCCCTCCACAGATGGTAACCCTGAGCTGACTACTGGGAACTAAGGGTGGGGAGCAGGCTTTGAGCTCAAACTTGAAAGTTGAAGAGGAGCAGCAAATGAGTAAAGGGTGCTGGGGACAACCCCTTGCCCCTCCCCCCACACCACCTCATGGCTCACAGTCTTCCCAGCCCACTGGCCATGTCAAAGACAAAGGCTCCCACTGGCTGTCGCCCCTTGTCCAGGATCCAAGGGGATCCTGTTTGGAGAAGACCGTCCTGAGGGTAGCCTGGGACTGGTCCACTTCCGTCCAGCCCGACAGCTCCCACGTCAGTGTGTCTGTCTGTCCCTCTCACTCCCTTCCTTTCTCCCTGCCATCTCTGGAATGTCTCTGGTGGGGAGGAGATGGGGAAAGATGTGCTTTGTGGAAAGGTTAAGTCGGATCAGGAAAAAATAGCCACATGTTTGCCTCAAAACAGGCCTGCTCTTGACCAAGATTCCGACCCCCACCAGGGGTGCGGAGGGCTGTCCGAGGGGACGGGCGGAGGGCCTTGGAAAGAAACAGCAGAGAGGCTAAATTTGGTTGCCCCATTGTGTGGCCAGGGCTGGCCAGTCGGGCACAGGGTGGGGGTTGTGGGAGACATGGGGTGGGGGCCCTGGTGAACAATAGGTGGGCCCAGCTGGGGCCCCCTCCTGCCTACCTCACCGCCCTCCAGTCCAGGCAGGATTGAAAGGGCCCGGGAATGCTTTTGAGAAAGAGCCAGGGGCCCAACAGGGAGAAGAAACAAAGGCAGGAAATGCTGTTCCCCCGTAGATAGCGTCTGGGCAAGGATTACAAAGTGACAAAGAGACAGAACCCCAGAGGGAAGGGGACCCGGGGGTGCAGGGGGGGTGCTGACCAGGGCTCCAGGGACCAGGCCAGAGGTTAGAATAGAATGGAATTTGCTCTGAAGACAGCGTTCATAAATACTTTTCCAGTCCAGCCGGCCGGCCCCGCCACGTGTGTGCCACCAAGCACGTGCCCACTCGATGAGCGCGCTCTTGGGCACAGGCAGGGCTGCCAGCTGGTCCCGGTCAGGTGTCCCTGGGAGACCTTGTAGACTGGGCCCTGGGCCAGAGGGGCAGGGAGATGGCTCCTCTGTCACCACCCTCTCCGGCTGGGTGCACACCTGGATAGATACTCAGCACAGGCCCTGGGCACCTTCTCCCTGCCCGCCCTGCTGCAGGCACCCCACCCAATTGCACCCAGCCAGAGCCACACGCTGGTGCTTCTCCCGCCACACCCATGTCCCAGGTACTAACCCATCTGCCCACTCCACCCTGCCCTGGTGGGTGTGGCCAGGCCCTCCCTGGGATGCTCATAGGCCCTGAGTTCTCTGATGTCAAAGAGGAGCGGTGCCACTGCCCTGACCCTCCAGGATTCCTTGAGGACCCACAGAGGCCAGAGTTCTGAATCCGATTTACCTACGGAGTCTCCGTGCAGCAGGCGCTGGAGGTCATCGAAGGAGCGGATGGAGTGTTCACTCAGCATCTCATAGAGTTCCTCAGGAATGGGGTCCCCCTGCAGGCAGACACCAGGAGATGAGGTGGCTGGCAGAGGGGGCTCCCCAGCTGTGGCCCCTACCCCAACAGCATACTTTCTCCTGTGGAAAGTTCCTATAGAGCCCCTGTGTCACCTACAAATGCAGTTAGGCCGAGACAGGCAGGATCCAGGTTCATAAACACCAGAAGCATAAGCCGGTGGGGAAGGAGGGGAGCAGCAAAACCAGCTCAGCTCCCAGAACCCAGATTGCTTCCAGGTGGACTTGCTTGTCTCCATCTGCCTCCCCCATTGGACTACAGGTTCTGGGAAGGTTCCAACAATCTGATTTCCCTCTGCTTCTTCCTCCACACCTGGCAGCAAGGACAGGCAGCATTTCTCACAGTCGACCTAATAATTGCCATTTTACAGATAAGAAAACAGAGGCTCAGACAGGAAGCATCCTTTATCCAGGATCCTACAGCCTATTACCCTAAGAAGCTTCACTCAAACTGTACCGGCAGTGACTGTACCCCAGTCTCCTGGGTACAAGGGGTGCTTAACAAATGCTCACAGAGCGGTGTGGTCTTGGGAGGTCATGTGATGTGTTCCCATGGTACTGATTTAGCCACGCACGAAAGAGGAGAGAAGGGAACCCTCACATGCAGCTGGTAAACCTGAACGCTTACCCAAGCCTTCTGCCCAACCAAACCCTATTTTTAGAGCCCCTCTGGCCTGTCACCAAACACACTTGAAACTTAATAAGCACTTTAACAGGCCTCACTTGGAGCTGGGCTTCCTCCAGGGAAACCGCAAGGCCCTCAATAACACGAGAGCGGCCTGATAGGAAGGTCACTGCCACATCCCCCTTGGTCCTGGGAACCCCGAGGGCCAGATGCCAACAGTCCCAAAAGAGGGGAGGACAGAGCTGAGAAGTCCAGCTGATCCACCAGCCACTGAGAGGCAAAGAAATGTGTAAGATGCACACACATGTGCAGGAACATGCACACGGGACCACATGGCTTGGAGGAAGCCCTAAGAGGGTATCAGCAGGCTATCTTTGGGGTAAGCCACTCTGTGCCTCAGTTCCTCTGCATTGAGAAGGGAGGAAGTCCTGACCTACATGGTTCCCTGAATCCTCCAGGACCAGAGTTCTGATTGAGGCACACAGGGCAGGGCATCACAGCCCAAAAAGCCATGTTTCCTTAACACTGGTCAGAAGCCAGGTGTGTTGTTCCAGCTACTCAAGAGGCTGAGGCAGGAGGATTGCTTGAGCCCACGAGTTCCAGGCCAGCCTGGGCAACATAACCAAACCAGCCCAAAAAAAAGGAAGGCAGGCTTCGGGATCCTCAACACTTGTCATAGCATCCAGAAACACCCCCTCCAAGGGTGCAGCTACGAATCCCTATGTCAACCTGGGAACTAGAAGAGCCACGGTGGGTGTGGTATGACTGCCCTAGCATCTTTGTCCCCTCATATGTCTCATTACCCCGCCCAGGGCCAGTCAGGCTGTCTGCAGATTCCAGGGAAGAGAGGATGGGTGATGCGGCTGAGAACTGAGGTCTTTGCTTCAGTGTCCTAGCTGCACAGCTGGGTAAAGATGTGCAAGATGGAGGAGTGGCGTCAGCCCAGCTACACCTCACTTTCTTCCCCCCCACCTCCTCATACCTCCAGGCCAGTTCACTCCTCTAGTCCCAAGAGAGAGACCATGTGCTCTCCACATGTTGACAAAGTCCCCAACCCACAGGACACAAGGCTAGTGGCTAGTCTGAAGCAAGGGCCAGGGGAGGCCACTGTCCCTGAGTGCTGTCATACTCAGCACTGGTAGTGCAGAGAACTGGAGTCCATGCCGCAAACTGCTACCAGGCACTGTGTGACCTCAGGTTGATCACTGCCCTTCTTTGGTCCTGGCTCTCATCTGTGAATCAAGGGGGCTGAAAAAAGATTCGATTCAATTCTAATTCTGCATGGGGCTGGCAGAAGTTGCAGAGGAAAGCCAAAGCTGGGGTGCCTACCAAGCCCCCCCCATTCACAGAGAGGAACAAGAAGTGTTTGTGGCTTGCTGACTCAATTAACCCTCCAAGGGAGGGGCCTGAGGCCAAAGGCATTTACTGCTTGTGCCAAGGTCTCCTTGCCCTGGAGAACTGACTGCAGCTGTCAGTGTGACAGAGCAAGCCAATCCCTAAACAGGTAGAGTGGACAACCCGGACCCAGACCCAAGATGCAAAGGTAAAAACTCAGCCCTTCTCAAATTGAGTGGGGAAGAATTCAAGATAGAGACTTCGGGGAGGTAAGGGGAGAAGCACACATCAGATGATCAAAAGTACTGGTTAAAATGCATGCAGGACTCTACCTTTCTCCTGGGGGTCCTCTCAGATCTGAGTCTCCCACCCCAATTTTACAATGTCCTGGCTAACATGTACCAGCTGCTGACTAGATCCGGACGCTGACCAAGCAGAATGCTATACAAACTACAGTCCTGCTATCTCCATCTTCCAGATGGGAAAACTGAGGCTTGTAGAAATTAAACAGCCACAAGTAAGTAGCAGAGTTGCGTCCTTCCCAGGCTGCAGAGGGCCCACTCACTTCTGGCCACCATGGAGCGTCTTGTGTGCCTCTCCTCTGTTCTGACACAACTGGCCCTCTTTACCAGGGGCCAGTTGGCTCTTTACCCCTGTGGCATGTCTTATAGCATTGGATCTCAACCACAGTGATGGGACCCCCCCACTATCTGAAGACATTTTTGGTTGTTCCAACTAAAGAAAGGCTCCTGGCACCTGACAGTGTGCAGGACAGCCCTGCACAGTACAGCATCGCTGCCCCCAAATCTCAGCAGGGCAGAGGCTAAGAAATGCTGTAGCAGAGAGCAAGGGCCTCCCATGTCAGGGCACCCGGGTCCTTGTAGTAATTCTTTCCACCATTCAAAATCTTGGTTTCTTTATCATTTAAACAGCGCTAATAATACCTTGGTCCGGGTTACTGCGAGGCACAATGCACACAGCAGAGCAGCCAGCAAATAATGGGTACTTAATGAGTTGTCACTGTCATCATCATTAATTCTTTCAACATGGCTCCTGTGAGGGCAGCAGCAAGTGGCACGTGTGCCCGGGGCCAACAGCACGGAATATTTTCAAGGCTGACAGTGGGTGGGCGGACTGCTGCCTACCCACAGAAGAGTGTGTGACTTTGCCTTATCCCCCGGGCTAGGCTACAGGAAATAGCACCTAGCCCCACACTGACACCACCTGGTATTGCGGGGGCTGGCAGGTCCCTTCCAGGACCAGGGGTGGGGACAGTTCGCCTGTGGTCAGCTCCAGGATGCAATGCCTTGGGGGAGACTTGCAAAGCACCTGTTCACTGTCAGAGGCCCCTCTGGGTGAGGGAGGGTGAGCTGCCCAGAGCCTGGGTTTCCTGGCCACAGGCACTGGGGGACACCAGGGGCCACTCCATCCTGACCCCCATAAACAGGAAAGGAGACCTGGCATCCTGAAGGAGTTGCCCCCAGATCTCAAGCCTGGGGCTCCTGATAGGGTGAGGGCGTGGCGAGGAAACAATTGGGGCAAAGCCAGTCCTGGGCGCCAAGGCAAGCAGCCTCCTCCCCACCCCGCCCCCATGCCAGCTGCAGGAGGTAGGAAGGGCACGAGCAAGTGTGAGTCCAGGTGAGTTACCTGCTCCCAACCAGGCTGGCAGATCAAAGGGGCTTAAACCCCACCCTCCACCTGGGCCCCAGCACACACACAGACACACACTCCCCAGCCTGCTGCCACTGTGTGGAGGGAGACGGCTCTCAGCCCAGCACCCAGAGGCATTGTCTGCGGCTGGCAGAGGCAGAGGCTGGCAAGGCCTCCCTGGGCCTGCCTGCCTGCCTGTGACTTACGCCTTATTTAGATTGGCTGCCAAGGCCAAGCCCTTTGAAGAAGCCCTCTCCAAGCAGACCACAGAAGCCATTTCTAACAGCTTCTCCCACTCAGCAGTTCCTTTCCTCACGGCTCCTGGGACCCTCCCTCCTGCTCAGCTCCCCCCATCTCCAGCCCACCTGCTTCCCAGCCTTTTGTTGGGAAGAAAGAGGCCTGGACCAGCCATGTGCAGCCTGGTGGCCCATCACAGGCACTGCCTCATCCCAGCTCCACCGGAGCTCCGAGAACACAGCTCATTCAAACTGCTCTGCTGTTTGAGACCCAGCTATGGAGGCACAGAACCTATGCAGCCTGGTTTTCTTTCTGTGTCTCCCTCTCTGTCCTCTCCAATCCTGACAATCCAAGTCCCAGAGTAGGGAAGAGAAACACATGCTAGCCTCTCACCTTGGGGAGGGGGGTCTTGAAAGACTGATGGTGGGAGGGCAGTGTGCCATGCAGGACTGCCCTTGGGGACAAGGGTTCAGTGATGGTGCTTCACTGCTGGCCTGGGACCCCCACCCCAACACTTATTTACTGACTGTCACCCAGCTTCAGGCACCCTGCTAGCACAGCAGTGACCAAGACGAACTGGAGTTTGCACTCCACTGGGAAAGCAGATAATAAACAACTAAACAACCCAGACAATGAGAAGAACAATTGTCCTAGAGGGGCACCTGGAAGGGGGAAGGGAAAACTTAGGACTTATAAGTCCCAGGTGAACACCTAAAATTAATTTCCTTCTCTTTTTACCACCCACACCCTCCTTGCAGGCTCTTGCACCAGAGCCTCCAAATTCTGTTTGACCTTGACCCACCCGCTGTGGCCATTAGCAAACTAGGGGGTAGCTGGGTGGTTGGATGCTGTGGAGCCCTCCACTCCTTCCCAGCAAAAGGGTGTTGAGGCAAGACATCACGTGACAGGGGAGTCACCTTCTGGGAAGCCAGCTCAGCTGCTGATGCAGGTGGGACCTCACTGGCCTGTCGCAGACCGTTCTCCAGCCCTGTGTCTGTACTCTCACCCTCCTTCTCAAGCATGCCAGGGGATGCAGCCAGCTCCAGGGCAACCTCCAGCAGCAAGCCCTCCCTGAGGCTCCCTGTACTGGCAATTAGGAGCTGCACTGGTCCCCATGTGGACAGGTGGGATTCCCATGCAGGCCTCTCCCTCAGGGACTCAGATGCTTTCCAGGCTTATCAGGAAAGCGCTTCATAAACTGCAAAGCACCAATGGTGGGTGACTGCAGTGGTGTTGGAGGATGCTGTGACAGAAGTGAGCCCTAGCCTCCGCCCCAAATGCACACACTCATGGGGTTGGAGAAAACGCAGAGGTGCTGGAAGAAGCTGGGAATGATAAGGGAGGTCTGGGAACCATGTCCCACTGTTACGCAGCCTCCCCAGAGCACGCTGGGATCCACAGGATCCCTCCTGCTTAGAGGTTCAAATGAGGGCTCATCTCTGAATCCTTCAGTCACCTCAAGGCCATTTTTGCCGTATGGTTGAAAAAAAGCAATCACAGAGGGTTAAGAGTTGAGGGGCACCAAGCTGCTCCGAGCAGGCCAAAAAAAAAAAAAAAAAGGATGCTGTGGAGGCGGGACGTGATGGCCTGATAGGAGGCTGCTCCTCCCTCCTAGGCCCCCAGGAAGGAAACAGGGTCGCTGCAGAGGCGGAGAGGTGCCAAGGCCCACTGTGGGCCCACCTGTTGCGCGGGGGTGAGCACCTGGAGCTGTGTACAGGGACTGTGCGTGCCTGTGTGCGTGCGTGGGTGTGCGCGCACGTGTACTCAGGCCGCGTGTACAGGGGCCATGCGTGCGTTTGTGTGCGCGCGTGTGTCCTGCGTGTGTACGGGCGTGGCGGCGGCGGGCGCGCGACCTGGCCGCGGTAGTGCGTGCCCGTCGCTCTGCGCGCCCGCCCGCCGGAGCGCAGCATCGCCTCCGGCCAGGAGTGTGCATGCGTGGGGTGAGTGAGCGAGTCCGGGGCCGGGCGGGGTGGGCTGCGGAGAGCAGCCGCGGGGCGCCGCCGTTCCCAGGACGCCTTGGCAACGGGCCAGCCCTCAGGTCCCGCAGCGAGGCGAGGCGAGGCGGCAGCTGGGGCCGGCCGGTGCCCCCCTCCCCAACAGCTGGCCGCGGCCCGGGGGGCTGCGGGAGAGGCAGGGAGGGGACGTCGTGCGGGACCTGCAGGCGTCCAGGCCGAGCCCCGCATCCTCCCTCCCGGGTGCAGGCCGTAGGGGGCGGCCGCGGAAGGGCGGGGCCCCAGGGCGGGCGGCCGGCGGCCCTCGAGGAGCCCTGAGAACAAAAGGAGACGGAGACGGCTCCTCCGTGGTCAAAACAACCTGCGCTGGCGACTGCCCAAGGCCCGGCCACGGCCTCTAGCCCTCTGCCTTAACCCCTTCGCCGCCGCCTCCCTCCTGAGCCTGGCTGGAGGCGAAGGGCCGGGCCCTCCCTGGAGCCGGCTAGGTGCAGGTTCGGGGCGGCGGCCCCGCGGAGGCGGGATGGGACCTAGGCACGCTGCGCTCCCGGCTGCCCTCTCCTCCCCCTCGCGCCTCCTCCCGCCCCGCCCCGCCCCCTTTCCCACCTGGGTTCCGGATAGACTTGCCAACTCACTGCTACGTGAGGCTGGGAGGGGTGGGGACACCGATCAGACCTGATCGCTCCCGCAGACGTTTCCCTTACCCCACCTCGCTTGCCTAGGCTTCTGCAGGCGGCGTGCCCCGCACCCTACATGCGGGGGAGAGAGGTGCTTCCTCTCGCAGGGCGCGGGCGCAGGTATGGCGGGCCTCAGAAACACACCGCCCAGGGGGCTGGATTCCTTCAGAACCCCCAGAACTCCCCCTAACCCGAGTGCCCGAAACCTATCCGTGTCTATCTGCCTGTCTCCCTGCTCCCCAATCCTTCCCGCGAAGACACAAGCAGCTCCTGATCTGTGTCCTGTGCCGGGCATGCCCTGCGCGGCCCGAGGTGCCTACCCCAACCCACAGCAAAAGCCAGGGTGGAACCCGAACCCCTGCAAGAGGTCGGCAAGGATGTCACAGGTGCGCGAGCTCCCACCTCCGGGGCAGGCTGGGTCCTGGATAGAATCAAAGCCAGGCTGAAGCCGACATGGGATTTGGACGCGCTGCCTTCTGTATCCTGGGCACCACCCCAACCCCTCTCCCCACCGGGAAGAGGCTCATTCTCAGGTTCCTAAGGGAGGTGGCAGGGCCACACGCACCCTCCCAAGCTCCTCTGGGATCTAGTATCTAGCTTCGCCCATTGGAAAGAAAACCACCCCTTAGAGTCTAGCACCTCCGGATCTCGTCTCCAAGCCCTTGGGGTCACCCAGCGCCCGGCACCAGGCTCACGAGCTTCAGGGGTACAAAGTTCACTGCAGCTAGAAGAGGGGCGGCCAGGCGTGGGGGTGGGGGCAGCGAATGAGGGAACCAGCCCCAGCCGCCGTCGCAACTCACCTCGGCGCTGACCAGACGCAGGTAGCAGCAGAGAGACAGGAAGAGCGCCCAGCAGCGATTCATGCCGACTCCGGGCCCGGCCCCGCGGGGCCCCAGACGCGTAGACCGAGCGCGCCGCCCCCGCGGCCAGGGTGGGGGGCTGGGGAGGAGGGTGGGCTCGGCTCTGGTCCGCGGTGATCAGGCGCTCAGGCCGCTGCAGTCGCCTCCGCGGCTCACCCGCATGGCCCCCGGGCGCCGCCGCCCCCGGCCCCAGCTCCGTCGCTGGGGGGCTGGGGAGGACCTGGGCACGGGACCAGGGTCCGAGGCCGCTACCTGGGCGGATCCCGAGCCCGCGCGAGCATCCACGGCTGGGGGGCTGCGTCGCGAACCAGCCGAGGCGTCTAACCGTGTGGGGGCGCGCAGGGGACTCCAACCTCCGAGAGGAAAAGGAGCACGGCAGTCGATGGTTCGTCTTCACTCGCCGGCTAAAGGCGTTTTCCTCTGCCCGCTGGCTTAGCTTTTTTGCAACATTTTCTGGAAAGCCCCCCCAGATCAGAAAGCGTAGGGCTGGACACCTCAAAGCCCAAGTCTTGCCCCAAAAACTTTTTCCAAAGTTGGCTTTGCAACGGCGGCCCGAGCACCCGGGCAGGGAGAGGTGCAAACTCCCGCCTGGGCCGGGTGGGGGGGCGGGAGCGTGTGCGCCCTGGCGCGGGGCCCGGGCGGCGGGCACGGCTGCTCCGCGCGCGCGGCGTGCCCGCTGCGCGCCCGGCCGGGCCGGGCCGACAGGTGGACGCGGCGCGAGTCGGTCAGTCGGTCTGCCCGCGGCTAGGCGCTCTGGGCGTCCTCAGCGGGTTGCGTGCTGCGGCTGCTCCGGCTTTCTCTTTGCAACGAGGCTGGAGGGTGGGCTTTTTTTTTTTTTCCTTTTTTTGCGCGTGTGTGTATGTGTGTGTGCGCAAAATATATGTCTATCGGGAATGAAAGATGGGCGCTGGCGGCCGGAGGGGAACCCTCAGGGAGGCAGCGGGGGTGGCAGGCGGGCCGCTCCCGGCTGCAGAAGTTGCCACCCTTTCAGCTGTTCCGGCCTTTATAAAGGAGAAGGGAGAGTGCCGAGAGGTGGGTGGAGACAGCCATTCCTCTTCTGGCCCAGAGTCAACTGGGAGGGGGGGCAGGAGTCGGGGGAGGGCCCGGGCGAGGGCGGGGCGCTTTGGGGTCTCAGAGAGCCTGGGTAGTCCCTCTGTCAGTGAATCTGGCACTGGGGAAAGAAAAACTAGAGGCCGTTCACTGCCCCACCCCTCAGCGCAGTGACTGCAGACAGTTTTAAGAGCCCAGTGGGTAGGGGGATATTGCCAGGGCAGAAGAGCCCCCCTTCAGGACCAGACATGTGCATCCTGGTGCAGGCATGGCAGCGCAGGACTCAGGCGCTGCAGTCTGACACCTTCCATTCAGCCCCTGCTCTGGCCCTGAGTAGTTGGGTCACCTTGGGCAAGTCACTTCCCTTCTGTGCTCTCATTCAGCCTCCAAGTAATTAAATGTCAGAAAGATGAAAAAGCACCCAGCCAGCCCCAAGGTGAATGCTCCAAACCCACAGCCAGCCCATTCAGCCACAAGCTGGGTTGTCTCCTCCTCCTAGCTGGTTGCCTGGCACACAGCAGACACTGCCAGCTTCGGCTGAATCTGAATTTGTTGAACTGCAAAGTCACACAAACCCCCACAAGCCTGCAGTATCCTTGCCAGGCTGCCACCGAGATCCTGCTATCACCCTGGTGTTTACTACCTCCCTCAGCCCCCAGGCATTCTCACCCACCCTGGCATTCTCACAGTTAACACCTTCCACCCCCAGCTCAGGGAGCTGCAGTGTCCCTGCCTTCAGCAGTCACACTGTCACAGTGACATAGTCACACGCACATATGCCAGGCCCAGCACCCACCATGGGAGCAGTGGGCTCACTACATTGCCTCCTGGCTTTGGGGCACCTTTGTCTCATCGCTTACACTCCCTGTCACATGCCCTTGGAACCCAAACACATCCCTGTGGCCTGTCAGCCTGTTCCTTATGTGTGTGCACACTGAGAGATGGACTGCTGCCTCTTCTAAGACCTGGACAGGGTGAAGCCAGCCCAGGGAGATCTTCCCAGGTGGGACTGTTTGTTTATTTGCAGTTCTGGGGATGGAACCCAGGACTTCATGCATGCCAGGCAAGCGCTCTATCACTGAACCACATCCATAGTCCCAGGTGGGCCTCTTATAAACAGTGCCAGGCACCCACTCTCAGATTACCACCTAGCAGTATGGCTGGGAGGCAGCCTGGGGACAGGCAGACTTGGTTCAAATCCTGGAACCAGGGATGTCTCTGGGAAGATTAACCTCTCGATTTCTTCTTCTGTAAATCAGAGACACGTTTATGATTGGAGGAGGTGAGGGCTTTCAGAAATGCGGGGGAAATTGGCTGAAGAAGTGTGTCTGATTGTGGTGAGGGGTTCGGGAGTGGGTGGGTACATTCATCAAAGGTGACGTATGTTTATTATACCACAATACAGTTGTAAAAGAATACTTTCCCACCTCATAGAGTACAGCTCAGATGAAAAATTCCACGCTAGTACAGGTCCCTGCCATGGGGAAGACACTTATCCAGAAGGACAGACAGAGGACTGGCAGACTGGCTCAAGTGGTAAGAGTGCCTGCCTGTCAAGGGTGAGGCCCTGAATTCAAGTCCCAGTGCCACCCTCCCCCTCCAAAAAAAAGGAACTATTGCCCAGAAGGATAAACAGATGCATAAACAGATAAATTAGGTGGCAAGCACGATGGGGGTAGGGAGATAATTCCAGCACCCTAAATTTGATGTCTAAAGACTTAGAGATTTAAAAACCCTTCTCCACCAGACAGCTGGGTGATCTTGACCTTGACCCATGTTCTTACTTACGACAATGCTACCACCATTGAGCTGATCCCATGGTGGGGAGTATTCTTGTTTTACATGTAACTCTCAGTGCTACTGTGAGATATGTCAGTCCCACCTTACAAGCAAAGCACAGAGAGACTGAGCAACTTGTTCAAGGTCACACAGCCAGTGCCACACCTTGAACCTGAAGTAGCTGCAGACCCAAATGCTTAAACCATTCTCCTGTGCTATCTCCTGGCAGGTGATGATGGCGATGACAAGGACACTTTTTACACGCAGCTCCGTGAGCATCAAATGCGTTAACACGTGTGGTGGTGCTTTGCCACCTGAAAGGTGCTGCCTCACAGGAGCCCCACCTTCTACACCAAGCTCTGCAGAAGCCAGCGCCCGGCTTCTCGAAGGAAGTGAGGGGCAGGGGAGGGCTGCTCAGAGCAGCTCAGAGCACTGCTGTGTACAGACCCCGAGTAAAGCACGGAGGAATAGAGTGAGGAAGGAGCCTGGTCCTGGTGCTGGGGGATCTCCCAGGCTTTGGGTGAGAGAGTCACAAATCGTTACAAACCAGACGTCGGACAGGGTTATAAGTGGCAGGACAGGGACCAGCAGCGGCAGCATGTATCTAAGCCTGAATGCCTTGCCTGGAGAGCCCCTCCTGAGCCCTCCTTGTAGGTGAGCCGCTCTGTAAGCACATCTCCTCCTTTTCTCACCAGGCTCAGTCAGCCAGCACCTCCTCCAGGAAGCCCACCAGGCTGGGTGCTTGTCCTGGATTCCCCCAGCATGTGCCCTAAGGTATTGTCTTGTCATTGCCCATTTGTCCTCTAGAACTTGCTGGGGTTCAGAATGAGCAAAGGCCTCTGCTCCCTGCAAATCAAGTAGTTGCTCCATAAATGTGTATTGAAGGAATGATTAATGGGTTAACATCTTGCCTATACTTTCCTATGAATCCTGGCCAGTTGGTGTGGGGATAGCAGACCCTTCCTAAAAGGTGGGAGGGTGGGACAGGTGTGTATCGTGAGACTAAACCAGAAGCATAGGGACCTGAGGGCTATGCCCTCCCAGCCCCACAAGGAAGACCTGGCCTATCTTCTGTGTCCGGCATGATGGAGGTGGAAGTGGGGCTTCGTGGACAGTCCCAGACCACGCACTCCAGTCCTGAGTTATGTAATGGAGCCCATGCTCTACCCCCACTCTTTTTTTTTTTTTTTAATCCCAATCCTTATGGCCCCCATCAGCAACCAAAACCCCTCCCCATGTTCAAGGCCTGGGGTGATGTGTATAAGCACCTCAACTCTTTGCCCTGCTTCTCCTCAGATACTCATGGAGGGAGTGATTGATTGCCTTTGTGCACCCATTTTACAGATGAGGAAAGAGGCTCAGAGAGGACAAGAGACCAGGCTCCCAGACAGGCGGGTGGTACACTAGGGATGCTAAGGCAGGAAAATCAGTTCAAGGCCAGCCTAGGCTATATAGTGAGACCCTGTCTCAAAAAATAATAAATAAATAAGAAAGACCAGGCTTCCAGTGGGTTCCAAGTTCCACTCTACCACTCACTAGCTGTATGACCTTGGGCAAATTACTTAACTTCTCTGAGCCTCAGTTTGCTCACCTATAAAATACAGGTAACAGTATAAAACCCAGAGTTCAAAGTCCAGTACTGGAAAAAAAGAATTGTATCAAGTACTTACAATGAATGGGGTAGCAGTAGCTTTTTGGGGGGTCTGGCAGAGTGGCTCATGTGAGCCACAAGCATGAGACTCTGAGTTCAAACCCCAGTACTAGCAAAAAAAAATTGTTTTAGATGGGGCGTATATGCACCTCACTGGGTTAAATGAATGAGCACGGAGTGTTGAAAGCATGGAGTGGGCACTGTCAAATGTCAGACATCAAGACAGTCATTACTCCAAGCTGCAGGTGCAGTCATTACACACCTGCCTCCCAACTCTGGAGCCTGTGCTAGGAGAAGAGCCCAAGGCTGAAAGGGCCACAGGCCGTCACCCCGGGGACTTGTCCTCACGAAGAGTCTCACCCCTTCTGTTGGTCTTCTCTACCTTGGGGAGGCTCTGGTCCCTGTGGTGAGTGGCAGAGAGACCCCAGGAAGACAGACAGACAGACCCTGGCCTAGGCTGCCCGGAGGCGCTCACCCTGCAGCCTTGGGCCTGTCTGTGCACAGGCAAGGGAAGCATGGTGTTTGTTTTCCTGGGCTGAGCCCAAGCATTTTTAGCTCCTCCAGGCTCCAGACAAGGAAGAGGATGTTTG